ATGAGCTGTGGAAAAGAAGTTCCTGTAAAATAGTCTAATAGGGAGTATAGGTGTTGTGTTGGTTGTCTCTTCAGAGGTTGCATGGCGTTTCACTTTCCTTCTTATAATGTCTTCGACAAAACCATTGGAGAAGCCGTTGTTGACTAGGACCTGCCTTACCCTACAGAGTTCTTCGTCGACTTGCTTCCATTCTGAGCTGTGGCTGAGAGAACGGTCGACATATGCGTTAACAACACTCCTCTTATACCTGTCTGGGCAGTCGCTGTTGGCATTTAGGCACATTCCTATGTTCGTTTCCTTAGTGTAGACTGCAGTGTGGAAACCTCCGCTCTTTTCCATGACTGTTACATCTAGAAAGGGCGGCTTCCCATCCTTTTCCATCTCGTAAGTGAAACGCAGCACGGAACTCTGCTCAAATGCCTCCTTCAACTCCTGCAGATGTCTGACATCAGGTACCTGTGTAAAAATGTCGTCAACATACCTGCAGTATATGGCCGGTTTCATGGTCATGTCGACTAAGACTTTTTGCTCGATGGTACCCATGTAGAAGTTTGCAAACAGGACACCTAGGGGAGAACCCATGGCGACCCCATCTACTTGCTTATACATGTGCCCATCCGGGCTCAAGAAGGGTGCCTCTTTAGTACAAGCTTGGAGTAGTTTCCTTAGGATATTTTCTGGTATGTCAAGAGGAGTACAGGCTGGATCACGATACACTCTGTCGGCTATCATCCCGATTGTCTCGTCCACTGGTACGTTAGTGAACAGCGATTCTACGTCCAACGAGGCTCTTATTCCTGTGGCCCGTGTGCCCCGCAGTAAGTCAACAAATTCCTTTGGCGACTTCAGGCTGAAGGCGCAAGGGACATAAGGAGTCAGCAGGCCGTTGAGTCGCTTCGCTAGTCTGTACGTGGGTGTGGGTATCTGGCTAATGATTGGCCGCAGTGGGTTTCCAGGCTTGTGTGTCTTGACATTTCCATACGCATATCCAGGTTTATATTCCCCAATGATCTTTGGCAGGTGGAGTCCGGATTTCTTGGCGTTCACAGATACAGCGATAGCAGGCGGCTTGACGTTTGCGAGGCATTACACATCAAGAAGTCAACACCAGCAATCAACAGCCAATTAATGCACAACTATATTCTACCCACCTCAAGACTCCGCTCCAATATAGAAGCATCAAGAAATATGGACCAATAGGCTTTCTACAATCACTTCTATTCAATACCCATTGTTACATGTTCTGGCTTGTGTTGATGAAATTAATACCTTATTAAATACCACCTCACCCCATCAACCTCTCTCAAATGTAGATATAAACAAAATCGGAGATGTGTAAGTTCTATTCAGTTGTGTATGTGTTAACTAAAGTCTTTGAAAATGTAATAAGTTTTACGAAACGCGCTCAAGTGTCGCGACAGACTAGAAATAAAAATGAATTTTGGAGAATTGATTTTTGAATTACCTCCAACAGTGAAAAGAAATGTACGAAAGATTGAGAAAATTCGTGTTAGAATTATTAATCTTACTTTTTCGGTCATATTTAATAATATATGTCTACAGGAAAGACTGCTACCAAAATATACTAATATATATATATATATATATATATATATATATATATATATATATATATATATATATATATATTTTGGTAGCAGTCTTTCCTGTAGACATATATTATTAAATATGACCGAAAAAGTAAGATTAATAATTCTAACACGAATTTTCTCGATCTTTCTTACGTTTCTTTTCACTGTTGATGGTAATTCATAGATCAATTCTCCAAAATTCATTTTTATTTCTAATCTGACGCGACACTTAAGCGCGTTTCGTAAAACTTATTACATTTTCAAAGACTTTAGTTTACACAAACACACACAACTTTAACTGAATAAAGCTTAAACATCTTTTGAGTTTTTATGCCTACATTTTGGGTGAAGTGACATATAACAATAGTTTTGGATGAGGTGAAAATAAACTTTTAACACAAGACAACACGAAACAATGAAATACAAACAGGTATTAAAAGTAGGTAACTGCAGAAGGCCTATTTTTATTGGCCCATATTTCTTGATGCTTCTATATTGGTGCGGAGTCTTGAAGTGGGTAGAATATAGTTGTGCATTAATTAGCTGTTGATTGCTGGTGTTGACTTCTTGATGTGTAGTGCCTCGCAGACGTCGAGCCGCCTTCTATCGCTGTATCTATCGATGATTTCTGTGTTGTTTGCTAAGATTTCTCTGGCGATGGTTTGGTTGTGGGAAGAGCCTATATGTTCCTTAATGGAGCCCTGTTGCTTATGCATCGTTAAACGCCTGGAAAAGATGTTGTTGTCTTGCCTATATACTGAGTTTTTTGTGGCTTACAATCCCCAAGAGGGCATTTGAAGGCATAGACGACGTTGGTCTCTTTTAAAACGTTCTGCTTTGTGTCTGGAGAGTTTCTCATGAGTAGGCTGGCCGTTTTTTTTTTTGGTTTTATAGTAAATTGTCAGTTGTATCTTCTGATTTTTGTCTGTAGGGATAACATTTCTACTGACAATATCTTTCAGGACCCTTTCCTCCGTTTTATGGGCTGTGGAAAAGAAGTTCCTGTAAAATAGTCTAATAGGGGGTATAGGTGTTGTGTTAGTTGTCTCTTCAGAGGTTGCATGGCGTTTCACCTTCCTTCTTATGATGTCTTCCACGAAACCATTGGAGAAGCCGTTGTTGACTAGGACCTGTCTTACCCTACAGAGTTCTTCGTCGACTTGCTTCCATTCTGAGCTGTGGCTGAGGGCACGGTCGACATATGCGTTAACGTTATATATATATATATATATATATATATATATATATATATATATATATATATATATATATATATATATATATATATATATATATATAAATATATATATATATATTCATATATATATATATATATATATTATATATATATATACACACATATATATATATATATATATATATATATATATATATATATATATATATATATATATATATATTAAACTAATAAGTTTCGATGTGATCTTTTTATTCACTAAAGTACCTGTTGATGATTTGCTAGAATTTTTACGTGAGGAACTACCTAAATATAATTTGAGCTTGCAGACCAATAAAGTATTTTAACTTATCAAATTGTGTATAAAAGGCAATTATTTTAGTTTTATTGGAAAAATTTTCAAACAAACATTTGGAATGGCGATGGGCAATCCCCTTTCCCCAGTTTTAAGCAATTTGTATATGGAATTCTTCGAAACAAAAATCTTATCCAGGAATTTCCCGTCTAATGTTGTTTGGTTTAGGTATGTTGAAGATATTTTGTGTTTATGGCCGAGTGACCAACACCAAATAGTTTTTCTTAATGTACTTAATTCTTTGGTACCTTCAATAAAATTCACTTGTGAGACTGAGGAGAATGGTACTCTTCCGTTTTTGGACATTATGATTCATAGAGTCACTAGAAAGTTCAAATTTAATGTGTATAGTAAACCTACCAACGTGGGGTCGTTTGTTCATTTTTATTCGAATCATCATAGTAAAGTTAAACAGGCAGTATTTTCAGGAATGTTTCTACGAGCTTTGAGGGTATGCAGCCATGAGTTTTTTATGAAGAGATTGCTAAAATATATGAAATTGGGAAGAGTTTACAATATCCTAAGAGGTTTTTGGATTGCTCGTTCGGACAAGCCAAGCGTACGTTTTATAATCACGTCCCCAAGGCGAAACCAGAAATTATTAACTCATTGGTGGTACGTTATGCGAGTTTACTTGAAAAACTGTCTCCGGTTTTTAAGAAACTTAATATCAATTTGGTGTTCACTAATAGTACGATCAAGTCCAATTTAATAAAAAACTCCCCTGATACAGCAGGTTGTGGGTATTCGATTCCCTGCAATGATTGTGATTTTGTGTACCTTGGACAAACAGGAAAGTCCTTACGATTGCGGTTGACACAACATGTTTATAGTATTAGAACTGCCCAAACGTCTAGTGCATTGTATCTGCACACGAGTTTATGTGATCACACTATTAACTGGAATGGGGCGAAAAGCATTACCAATTGTGGTGGTTTCGTGGAACGGAATTTGATTGAGTCTGCTCTAATCAGTGTCCAAATCTTCTTAATGTTAGTACTGGTATGTACAAACTTGATCCATTTTTAAGTTATAATATTGCACAACAGTTTAAGAACAAACTCTGATAAGGAAAGCTACAATGTCTCATTACAATTTTATATTCATATATCGTGTTTCATGAAGTTTTTCTTTAATCTTTCATCCTTATTCTCTGACCAATCCTTTTTGACCATTCTAAGTTATACCTGTTTCTGGATAATTCTTTCCCTAGAGATGGGTTGGTCAGGTCCAGGTGTTGGCCTGTACACTCCCTCTCTCTCCTCTAGTCAGTTTGGTGTTGACAAGGGCTTTAATCTGGCCGAAACGTTCACTTCCTTTCACATTTCTCTGTGGATTTTCCGCATAAAAATGATCAGTGTTTTGTGATCGTCAATTGCACACACACACATTATATATATATATATATATATATATATATATATATATATATATATATATATATATATATATATATATAGTGACTACGGTGAGTTACGAGCCTTCATGCCTCTTAGTTCTGGGACTAGTCTAGTGGCATACCTCTGAACTTTTTTCAGCTTCGTCTCTGAACATGAACTCTGTGTTTGTGCCTCTTTGCATGTTTGCTTGTTATGGGGTATAACCTGACAAATGTTCTTCTGCCGATATAACGAAAACCATTTAAACAAGTTTTAATTAAATTTTATGCAGAGTGTTTAATAGGGACAAAATATAGACCAGAATGTATTTGGCTGATTTTCGTTTGCATATTATTTGGTAATTTCCATAATTAATAACTTTGGCAGAGTGGCTTTAACCGCGTATAGTCTCTGTATACCATGTGTATCCTGTATACCATGTATACTCTGTCGCCTTCTCTTCTGCCTGCCCTTACCCTTAACCACGAGTCTCTACCTGCCCTTAACAACCCCTTATCACCTGAGGTCATTTCACTATGTAAGGAGTATATATGTACGGTTCTGTTGGCCATTACTCCTATTTACAGCAGGTGGGCGAAGCATTTACAGAGGAGCAATTCGAACAGAGTTCGTCATTGGAACACTGTTCGAGTTATGTTCGGATATCATCGGTTGCCAGCCGTGTGTCAAATGTTTTTTTCAATCATAAACAGAGTGATTTGAGGGCTCGGTTAACGAGCATTTAGTCCTTGTTGATGACGATGGCTTGACGCGTCGAGAGCGGGATAATTCGAACACATAAAAGAGAGGTAAGCGGTGTTCAGGGGAAGTTCGAACGTAAACATGTTGTATATCACGTGTAAATTGTTTTTCATTTGTAAATTAGGGGGGGGGGGAAGGTGGATTAGGAGGCATCTGAGCCTCGGTGAGAAGGAACTCATAACTCATTACGATTAAATGTTTCTTGGATACTGCTTCACTCTTGTGTTCGAATTGCGTCTCTAAATACTGCTTCACTCTTGTGTTCGAATTGCGTCTCTAAATACTGCTTCACTCTTGTGTTCGAATTGCGTCTCTAAATACTGCTTCATTCTTGTGTTCGAATTGCGTCTCTGAATACTGCTTCATTCTTATGTTCGAATTGCGTCTCTCTAAATGCTGCTTCACAGTCCCCAACGACCCGGCCCGCTTCACAGTCCCCAACGACTCGACCCGCTTCACAGTCCCCAACGACCCGACCCGCTTCACAGTCCCCCAACGACCCGACCCGCTTCACAGTCCCCCAACGACCCGACCCGCTTCACAGTCCCCCAACGACCCGACCCGCTTCACAGTCCCCCAACGACTAGACCCGCTTCACAGTCCCCCAACGACCCGACCCGCTTCACAGTCCCCCAACGACCCGACTCGCTTCACAGTCCCCAACGACCCGACCCGCTTCACAGTCCCCCAACGACCCGACCCGCTTCACAGTCCCCAACGACCCGGCCCGCTTCACAGTCCCCAACGACTCGACCCGCTTCACAGTCCCCAACGACCCGACCCGCTTCACAGTCCCCCAAGGACCCGACCCGCTTCACAATCCCCCAACGACCCGACCCGCTTCACAGTCCCCCAACGACCCGACCCGCTTCACAGTCCCCCAACGACTAGACCCGCTTCACAGTCCCCCAACGACCCGACCCGCTTCACAGTCCCCCAACGACCCGACTCGCTTCACAGTCCCCAACGACCCGACCCGCTTCACAGTCCCCCAACGACCCGACCCGCTTCACAGTCCCCAACGACCCGGCCCGCTTCACAGTCCCCAACGACCCGACTCGCTTCACAGTCCCCAACGACCCGACCCGCTTCACAGTCCCCCAACGACTAGACCCGCTTCACAGTCCCCCAACGACCCGACCCGCTTCACAGTCCCCCAACGACCCGGCCCGCTTCACAGTCCCCCAACGACCCGACCCGCTTCACAGTCCCCCAACGACCCGACCCGCTTCACCAAAGACCCAACAAATGAGAGTGGGGTTATGACACTGACCCAGAGGAGGGGGGGAGGGACGGTCTCTGGGGCTGTCTATCACCCCCCTCCCCCTCCCCCCTCCCCCCCCTCCCCCTCCCCCCTCTCCCCCCTCCCCCTCCCCCCTCTCCCCCCCCCCTCTCCCCCCCCCTCTCCCCCCCCTCCCCCCCCCCCCCCCCCTCCCCCCCCTCCCCCCCCCTCTCTCCCCCCCTCTCCCCCCCCTCTCCCCCCCCCCCTTCTGCATGACGCGGGGACAAATATTCATTTTCCCTTGACAGCTGGTGAAGAGGGGATTGAAAACGCGGCCAACACGTGCTAAAAAACGTTGTTTTCGGGTGTTGCTGGGGTGAGGGGGGGGGAACCAGCATATGTTGGTTATCATACCTGGGTAATTGTTATCACGTCATGGTCGAGGGGCCTTGTTTTGGTTAACGTTCAAAGTCCACTATGGGATCACCATAGCCCGTGCTACTTGGAACTTTTTGTTCTAGGTAGCGAAGCTTAAACATGTGTAACAGGGGATGTGTAATTATGGGATCACTTCGATTGGTTGTTATACTGCTGGTTGTGGGTTCGATTCCCCGATGAGTCCTGCAGGTGGTTGGGTAGTTACACAGGACCGAGATGAACAATGTTGGATTTATTGTGAATATTTCTGGCTGGCTTGAAACAGCTGGAAGCCACCAGTATGTGCTCTTGTTACATATTGTTTTTTGACACATATTGCTTTTTTGTGTGTGTATTTTGTTATGTATCTTTTATTATTGTTTTTTGGTATGTATTATTCTTTTACGATTTATTTAATAAATATTTAACAATCGTGGCCTACATACACAACTACACATGACCACATATGTATACCTACACATAACCTGTATCCACAGCTCCCAATAACATGTGTGATAGAGAACTCCAATGCCGGAAAATAAATGTTCCGGATACAGCAGCTATGAGTCAGGGCTCAAGAGCTGAATCACGCGTCCTGTCTTAACAAGAGAACAGAAGAACACCACGCCAGTATATCAGTAGAACAGGTCCTGGTTACGGCAACAACCCGTCTATCGGGAGATAATTAGAAGTCGCATTATGGAGGCTAACAACATAGACCTCTCTTGCATGTCTTCTGCACCACGGACAAGGAGCCAGATTCACGAAGTAGTTACGCAAGCACTTACGAACGTGTACATCTTTCCTCAATCTTTAACGGCTTTGGTTACATTTATTAAACAGTTTACAAGCATGAAAACTTCCCAATGAACTGGTCTAATTGTTATAAACAGCCTCCTGGTGCTTCCGAGCTCATCAACTGTTCAATAATTGTAAACAAAGCCGCCAAAGATTGAGAAAAGATGGACACGTTCGTAAGTGCTTGCGTAACTGCTTCGTGAATCTGGCCCAAGGTCTTCAGAACACTTCATATCACGTAAACAAGACTCGAAAAAACAGCCAAGAGTCTCCGTATAAAAAACAAATGCACAGAATTGCACTTAAGATGCTCAAGAGACGTTCAACGCGGCTTGTATCGGTAAAGTGCAGATTAAGACGATTGGACACACAGTTCCTTCACTCCGGTTTGCCTGTCTACCTGACCGTAAGCTGATTGACAGATCGTGACTGTTTTTTGTTTTTAAAAATGGCTCCAAGCAACCTAACCGGTTTTCGGTGATTGGCCAGAGGCCTGAATCTCAACACGGGACTTGAGAGGCTTGACTGTCAAGGAACGATTTAGGAAACTCACACCATTGGATGAAAGATATAACGGGGGGGGGGAGGGATGTGATGACATACACAATATTCAGAGCCATCGATATAAAAGGAGGTTATATAAGATAAGATATATATATATATATATATATATATATATATATATATATATATATATATATATATATATATATATATATATATATATATATATATATATAAGGGGGTTGGGATATGCGGATAGTGTGTTTGTCAACACTTTCGACCTTCGGGGATCGAACGCCGACCTGCAACATACGAGGTAGTCGATGCCCCGAACAGTCCAAGTAAGCAAGAAGTCATGTATGAGGTCAGAAGTAGTAGAAGTAGAGTCTGTCGGGCATGCTTCATGCAGGCCGGTGTTCGATCCCCGATGTTGCAAGTAGTAGAACACCGTTCCACATAAAAATTACTTACAATACCTCCCCTCCTTCCCCTCCCCTACCCCCAGATTCCTTCCCCTCCAACCCCCCACCCCACCGCCTCATTCTAAACCACATACCCCCACCCCATAGACTCCTCTCCCATCAAATGAGGATAACTAATAACATTAACTATAGTGGCTGATCAGGAACGGCCCAGGAGCTGGCGTCCAACCCTGAAGGCACTCCTAGGTTAGTACACACAGGTAACTCATCAAGAATCTGTCTATCAAATACCACTAAAAATCATTTCTACATTTTTTATTCAAAAATTCCTGAATTTGTGTGAGTTCACTGTTAGTCATTTTGATGAAATATTTTTTTTTTGAAAGTGATGAGAGAGATAGTGAAGTAAATGTTGACATTGATGAGGGTGATGAGTGTGAGAATCACCATTACTGTGTCATGTTCACACTGATGGTAGTTATATTACTCAGGGTAAAAGTGGTGGATAGGGGCTCTGATGGTGATGAATAGTGGCTCTGATGGTGATGAATTGTAGCTCTGATGGTGATGAATAGTGGCTCTGATGGTGATGAATTGTAGCTCTGATGGTGATGAATTATGGCTCTGATGGTGATGAATAGTGGCTCTGATGGTGATGAATAGTGGCTCTGATGGTGATGAATTGTGGCTCTGATGGTGGTGAATAGTGGCTCTGATGGCGATGAATGGTGACTGATGGTGGTAATGGTAGCCCTGATGGAGGCAATGGTGATAAAGTTTAACCTTGTTGTGATGGTGATGATTGTGACCGTGATGACGGTGGCCTTGATGGTAGGGATGGTGATGAATGGTGACTTTGAAAGTCAAGGTGCCGTCAAAGTCACTATTCATAATGAATGGTACCAATTTTGAAGAAAGAAGATAGATCAATATCACCTATGAGTCAATAAGCTTAAATCTACTGTGAGTAAAATGACTCAATAACCACAAAATACATTCACCCACATCTTGAATAACCCAGATGAATAAATAATTGCAACATGGTCTTACTAACGGCTGCTAACCATTGATAAATGTGCTGTCATTCTGTCCCCTCATTCGGGTTTTCTATTTTGTTTTTCAAGGCACTGGGGTTAGATGGCGGTTTTACTGTTGAAGTGAATGGTTCACTGTTGAAGTGAATGGTTCACTGTTGAAGTGAATGGTTCACTGTTGAAGTGAATGGTTCACTGTTGAAGTGAATGGTTCACTGTTGAAGTGAATGGTTCACTGTTGAAGTGAATGGTTCACTGTTGAAGTGAATGGTTCACTGTTGAAGTGAATGGTTCACTGTTGAAGTGAATGGTTCACTGTTGAAGTGAATGGTTCACTGTTGAAGTGAATGGTTCACTGTTGAAGTGAATGGTTCACTGTTGAAGTGAATGGTTCACTGTTGAAGTGAATGGTTCACTGTTGAAGTGAATGGTTCACTGTTGAAGTGAATGGTTCACTGTTGAAGTGAATGGTTCAGTGTGTGTTGTCTTCAGTATTGGAGCGGGTCTCGTGTAGGTCATTGATGGTGTTGTGGGCGGGTTGTGAGTACTATACAATATGTTCCTAAAGTGGAGTTGTTGTTTTTATAGGTGGGAGCAGTATATAGGTACCTGGGAGTTAGACAGCTGTTACGGGCTGCTTCCTGGGTGTGTGGGTGTGTGTGTGTGTGTGTGTGTGTGTGTGTGTACTTACCTAATTGCTTACCTAATTGTGCTTGCGGGGGTTGAGCTCTGGCTCTTTGGTCCCGCCTCTCAACCGTCAATCAACTGGTGTACAGATTCCTGAGCCTATTGGGCTCTATCATATCTACATTTGAAACTGTGAATGGAGTCAGCCTCCACCACATCACTTCCTAATGCATTCCATTTGCTAACTACTCTGACACTGAAAAAGTTCTTTCTAACGTCTCTGTGGCTCATTTGGGTACTCAGCTTCCACCTGTGTCCCCTTGTTCGCGTCCCACCAGTGTTGAAAAGTTCGTCCTTGTTTACCCGGTCGATTCCCCTGAGGATTTTGTAGGTTGTGATCATGTCCCCCCTTACTCTTCTGTCTTCCAGTGTCGTGAGGTGCATTTCCCGCAGCCTTTCCTCATAACTCATGCCTCTTAGTTCTGGGACTAGTCTAGTAGCATACCTTTGGACTTTTTCCAGCTTCGTCTTGTGCTTGACAAGGTACGGGCTCCATGCTGGGGCCGCATACTCCAGGATTGGTCTTACATATGTGGTGTACAAGATTCTGAATGATTCCTTACACAGGTTCCTGAACGCCGTTCTGATGTTAGCCAGCCTCGCATATGCCGCAGACGTTATTCTCTTTATGTGGGCTTCAGGAGACAGGTTTGGTGTGATATCAACTCCTAGATCTTTCTCTCTGTCTGTTTCATTAAGTACTTCATCTCCTATTCTGTATCCTGTGCCTGGCCTCCTGTTTCCACTGCCTAGTTTCATTACTTTGCATTTACTCGGGTTGAACTTCAACAGCCATTTGTTGGACCATTCACTCAGTCTATCCAGGTCATCTTGTAGCCTCCTACTATCATCCTCTGTTTCAATCCTCCTCATAATGTTTGCATCGTCGGCAAACATTGAGAGGAACGAATCTATACCCTCTGGGAGATCATTTACATATACCAGAAACAGTATAGGTCCAAGGACTGACCCCTGCGGGACTCCACTTGTGACGTCTCGCCAATCTGAGACCTCACCCCTCACACAG